GTATTATACATTAGATCCTGACATAAAAATAGTTGCTGATTTACTATGTGGCTATATAGATTTACAAAATAAAGTGCAAATATGGTCAGTTTTGGTTGTTATGGTCAAATAATATTGTTATAGGAGTCAGCCTGGGGTATCAAAACTAATGAAATTTTGTTGCGTATCAATATATTGAACAAAAGGAGGACATGCTGGCACTCTAAATTTATGCGGACAAAAATTTGTAGTTGTTGTGATCCAATATTGCTGTCATTTGTTTTATACATTAAATCCTGACATGTAAATAGTTGCTGATTTACTATGCGGCTATATAGATTTACAAAATAAAGTGCAAATATGGTCAGTTTTGGTTGTTACGGTCAATTAATTTGGTATAGGAGTCAGCCTGAGGTATCAAAACTACTGAAATTTTGTTGCAAGACAATATTTTGATTAAAACGAGGACTTGCTGGCAATCTAGATTTATATGGACAAAATTTTGTATTCACATTATGTTCCAATATTGCTGTCATTTGTATTATACAATACATCCTGACATAAAATATTACTGAATTATTATGCAACTATATAGATTTACATGATAAAGTGCAAATATGGTAAGCTTTTGTTGATACGGTCAAATAATTTTGCTATACGAGTCAGCCTGGGGTATCAAAACTACTGACATTTTTTTTACGTATCAATATATTGAACAAAAGGAGGACATGCTGGCACTCTAAATTTATGCGAACAAAAAATTTGTAGTTGTTGTGTTCCAATATTGCTGTCATTTGTATTATACATTAAATCCTGACATAAAAATAGTTGCTGATTTACTATGTGGCTATATAGATTCACAAAATAAAGTCCAAATATGGTCAGTTTTGGTTGATACGGTCAAATAATTTTGTTAAAGGAGTCAGCCTGGGGTATCAAAACTACTGAAATTTTGTTACGTATCAATATATTGAACAAAAGGAGGACATGCTGGCACTCTAAATTTATGCGAACAAAAAATTTGTAGTTGTTGTGTTCCAATATTGCTGTCATTTGTATTATACATTAAATCCTGACATAAGAATAGTTGCTGATTTACTATGCGGCTATATAGATTTACAAAATAAAAATGCAAATATGGTCAGTTTTGGTTGATACGGTCAAATAATTTTGTTATAGGAGTCAGCCTGGGGTATCAAAACTACTAAAATTTTGTTACGTATCAATATATTGAAGAAAGGAGGACATGCTGGCACTCTAAATTTATGCGGACAAAAATGTGTAATTGTTGTGTTCCAATATTGCTGTCATTTGTATTATACATTAAATCCTGACATAAAAATAGTTGCTGATTTACTATGCGGCTATATAGATTTACAAAATAAAGTGCAAATATGTTCAGTTTTGGTTAATGCGGTCAAATAACTTTGCTATACAAGTCAGCCTGAGGTATCAAAACTACTGAAATTTAGTTATGTATCAATATATCATGTATATTGAACAAAAGGAGGACATGTTGGCACTCTAAATTTATGCGGACAAAATTTTGTAGTTGTTGTGTTCCAATATTGCTGTCATTTGTATTATACATTAAATCCTGACATAAAAATAGTTGCTGATTTACTATGTGGCTATATAGATTCACAAAATAAAGTGCAAATATGGTCAGTTTTGGTTGATACGGTCAAATAATTTTGTTATAGGAGTCAGCCTGGGGTATCAAAACTAATGAAATTTTGTTGCGTATCAATATATTGAACAAAAGGAGGACATGCTGGCACTCTAAATTTATGCGGACAAAAATTTGTAGTTGTTGTGATCCAATATTGCTGTCATTTGTTTTATACATTAAATCCTGACATGTAAATAGTTGCTGTTTTACTATGCAGCTATATAGATTTACAAAATAAAGTGCAAATATGGTCAGGTTTGGTTGTTACGGTCAATTAATTTGGTATAGGAGTCAGCCTGAGGTATCAAAACTACTGAAATTTTGTTGCAAGACAATATTTTGATTAAAAAGAGGACTTGCTGGCACTCTAGATTTATATGGACAAAATTTTGTATTCACATTATGATCCAATATTGCTGTCATTTGTATTATACAATACATCCTGACATAAAATATTACTGAATTATTATGCGACTATATAGATTTACATATTAAAGTGCAAATTTGGTAAGTTTTGGTTGATACGGTCAAATAATTTTGCTATACGAGTCAGCCTGGGGTATCAAAAATACTGAAATTTTGTTATGTATCAATATATTGAACAAAAGGAGGACATGCTGGCACTCTTAATTTATGCGGGTAAAATTTTGTAGTGATTGTGTTCCAATATTGCTGTCATTTGTATTATATATTCTATCCCGAAATAAAAATATTTCCGATTTACTTTACGGCTATATAGATGTACATTATAAAGTGCAAATATGGTTAATACGATTTAAAGAATTTAAAATGTATTGGAATATATATTCAGCTCGTTAACATTGTAACCATTATCGTTTTTTTAATATATAGAAAGGCAGATCACGGATATATTTGTATATAAACAAGCAAAGTTTTATGCGTACTTTATATACAAATAGATCACTTCAACACGGAGCTATATGTATTTAATCATGTTTATATCACGGAAGTATTAAATTGACATTATTTTTGATGTTTATACCAAGAAACAAAGACATTAAAAGATATTAAAAAAATCGATGTAGAGCGGTCCTGGTTACAAGTTAACTTAGTGTTGAGCAGACCAGGCCAAAAGTTAACTTGAGATCAGGTCTGGTTCGATCGGAGTTGTCAAAATCAAAGTTAACTTGTGTTAACTTATGACAGAACTGGTTTCGAAGTTAACTTATATCAATAGCGGACCTGTTTCCTAGTTAACTTTTTCGGCAGACATAAAAACAGTCCTAGGACCAAGTCCGCTTTTCAGGTTAACTAGATTGTGGTCCTAGGACTGGTCAGAGCAGTCCTAAATCCTGTCACAGGTTAACTTTGACCAGTCCAAATGACTGGTTATCAAGTTAACTTGCCGTACAGGTTAGGTCTGCACCCATCTGTAACAAATTATTTTCATTGTCAAGTTTCATAACTTAAGCTTTGATATTTGTCCTAGGCTGTACATTAAATTGTGCCGAACAATTGCTAAAACTGCCAACACTGATAAGAAATAACATCTTAATGTTAATATGGTGGAGATATATTTCTTCCAGAAATCCATATCAATGGACTAGTACATACAGGTACCAAAACAGTTGAAATAAAAAATAGGAAAGGACAAAAACAAGTCCAAAAACTAGGAGACAGAATTTTCGACGAAAGTTTAATTTACAGTAGTACAATGAATATAAATAAGAAGATGTGGTATGAGTGCCAATGAGACAACTCTCCATCCAAGTCATAATGTATAAAAAGTAAAAAATTATAGGTCAAAGTACGGCCTTCAACACAGAGCCTTGGCTCACACCGAACAGCAAGCTATAAAGGGCCCCAATATAAAGTGTAAAACAATTCAAAGAGTAAAACCAACGGTCGAATCTATATAAAAACGAGAAACAAGAAACACATATATACACATATTACAATATTTATTATCCCAGATTCCGACCTGAGCAACATACTACATGCTGCAATTGCAACAGGAATTGCTAATTCTACCAGAGCACGTTAGTAGAGTAAGTATTGGTTAGAATTTAATTGCTGGAATTTTTCTTTCGATCATGGTGTCATTTGTAAAAGCGAGCTGCATGAAGATGATAGCCGTTTTTTTGGCTGTTTGGCTTATAACCTTTTCAACAATTCTACACCTACAATTGACAACGACTACGACAGGTAAGATGTATGTGGTCGTCTCAGAGGAAGTTATGATTGTATATAATGGTTACATGTAGTTTACTGAATCGAACGAATAAATGTTGCTTATATGTCTTTACCACAACGATAGTTTTGATTTATAGTCACTTTTATTTTTGAATTGAGTATGAATAACAGGGAGGTCTTTGATATTCTATTTAAAGTTTTTAGAAGTTAAGATTCTAGCTTCTTATGTAAAACTGGCCAAATGAAAAACAAATTAAGTAGTAAATATTTAATCAAACAACTTGTTAAAATTTATTGATAAGGGCGGCACATGTTTATACAAATATAAAAAAGAAGATGTGGTATGATTGCCAATGAGACAACTCTCCACAAGAAACCAAATGACACAGAAATTAACAACTATAGGTCACCTTTAACTTTGGCCTCGGATGCCAACATGAGACCATAGGACACATATTAAAACTAGATAAGAGTAGAAAACCGATGCATAAATCAACATAATGGAAAATCAAGAAAAAAAAACAGATCCGGTGACAACATAAAAGGACACTTTCTCATAGAAAACAAAAGCTGTATAATAAAACACGGATCCTGTAAGTACAAAAAAGACCCAAAAAGTGAAAAAGTATATTTTAACAAAACGTATTTGACTAGCAGGTAGAACAACGGATGTTCTTAAACCCTGCTGACTGCCATTGGCGATTGCCAAATAAACGGATCACTAGTTGTAACAAAATGGATCTTAAATTTTAATTTCATACCAAACAGAAAACAATAAATTTGCGGAAAATATGGTATATCGCAAACAAAAGATGCAAAAATTAGTACACCATATCTGGATTTCGACAATTAATGTCTCTTCCGTGATGTTAGGAATCGAAACGGTATTTGGAAGGCCATATAATTTACCTCAATTTAGGATAGACTCTTGAATTTTGAAGAGTCGAAATAGGATGAACGGATCATATAAACCCGAAGGCAAATATAATACAAGCCAAAACGAAAAATATAAACAAGTCTAAATTGAAAACAACGTTCAAACCTATGATTGCGTTGGATAAAAACCGCAATTTTTATATTTGTGCATGCAAAACAAATTGTGAGGGGTCTAAATACAGCACAAACAACATTTTCCAAAATATATATACATCCTTCTGATATATAGTTGTTATGTAAAAAAAACAAAAAAAGCTCATAGTTTAACATATTTTATTCCGTTCACTATTAGTTCTTTTTCGGAGGGCAGCCATTTCTCTAAATGTGAAAGAAACAAATAAATATTAAAATGATATTTGAATAGATATACATGATATAGTTCCTTAATCTTCTATGAACTGTAATATCCGTAGAGGAAACATTGATAATTATGGTAATTTTATGTATTCTAGCTAGAGACGAGTTTTTTTTTTTTTTAAATGTGTTACATATTTCTTTTCTTTGTGTGTCCTCTCCTTGTATGAAATAAATTGTTCCGGGATGTTCTGAAGGTTTTCTTTATTTGTGTTGTGGCAATATGAACTGTATGACGTTATTTCGAATTTATTGAAATCAAAACCAGGAATTTTTTTTGTAATGTTAAAAACAAGTTATCTTTATATCAAACTTAATATGTTTGTTTTTCACTTACAACATGTCTCTTGCATACAAAGGCATATGTTGTTGAGCAAGCATGATCGTTCCATGCCCCGTCAGCAGTTGGGTATAGCTCTACACACTGTATACTTTTTCCAGAACCATTTGGTTCACGAGGATGCCATTTAAAATATTTAACAGGTTCAAAGTTAGACCCCCATATCCACTTTCCTGAATCACAGTTAATTGCTCCTATCCAAAAAGGTCCTGCGTTTGCTTCTGTAAACACAAATTGTAATCGAAATTATACCGCATTATGTAATATTATAAAAGTATTTCTTGTTTGTTTGGTTTAAGATGGTGATCAATAAAACACTCAAACCATAAGAGAGAGAAAAAGAGAGAGATATTGTCTCAATTATATACAATTCGACTTACCTTTAGATTTCGTCATTACAAAGTTGTTTTCATTTTCATCAACAATGTTCACAAGAGATGAACCTTCTGCTTGACAATACCTCTAAAAAAGAAAGAGAAACTCAAAAACATTGACCATATTTTCAAAATCTTAATCAAGAATCATATAACAGTACACAAATACAATTTGCTTTATCAAAAATCATTTAACTTGTAAGCTATTTGATATATATAATTTTTTCATTTATTCTTTTTTTTTCACAAAGCCCAAGGACGAGGGCCCTTAGAACTACAGGTTACCGTACGACAATGACAAACACGCCTATCGTTAAGTAAACCTTTATATAGGCCGGGAATATATTGTTTCAGAACAAATTAAAATAGAGCACCAAAGTCTTGTTTTACGCTATATACATTCACCGTTCTACAATTGTGCAAAACAGCAACAAACGAAACAATCGTATGACTTAAAAGCAGTTGTATGAAAGAACAACAACAGAACAAACTGTAAAATTATGGGAAAGGGCTTGACTCGTAAGAACGTTATTGAGCACAAAACACAACTGGTAACAAAATGACAAAGGACATAGCATCCTCAAAGACTAGACAGTAAATCAATGAAACATTCATCTTTTTTATATTTCTTACCTCAGCTTCAAACCAACTTTTTTTGTCTTTGTTAAAATAGTAACAATGATCTCTAAAACGGTCCCAGTCTTTTTTACAACCACCATTTCCCAAAATATGTTTTCCTGAAATATCCAACAGAGAATTAAATTCATACAAGATCTACGTAAATTATTTTAAAACTAAGATCAGGACTACGTTCAATATCGTAAAAGCTAGTATAGCCGCTATGTCTTGGATATCTTTCTATATTGAACGATATGCTACGTAGCTAGCCTATCAACACAGCGTCATGAGAAATAACCTTTCCGACGACATTTTGGAATCTCTAGATAGCATACATTTTTTTGGCTATCTAGATCTATTTAGCGGCTAGCCTAGCTACACTTTCAGTAGTCAAAATCCAAGTAGCCCTACATAGCAGCTAAGACATTGAACGCAACCCTGATAACGATGGAAACTAAGATCTGATTACGATGCAATTTAAGAACTGATTACGATGCTAACTAAGATATGATTACGATGGAAGAGCAAAAGAGACAAACACAGTCGTCTGTAATCATCAACGTTCTCATTACTTTTTTCAATATTGTATTTCTCTAGTTCTGCAATCGACATAAGATATCAAAATATACTGTTACATTTCTTTTACCACGAATTGAATAAATTAGCTATAGTATCTTGTAAGTTCCCACTTTTTATTTGGAACATTTTACTAATAATGATAAGAGAAACCGATTCTACTACATAAACCCGGTTAGTAAAATATTTATAAACTATCGCTGGTTAATTCTAAAAAATCGTAAAAATGCTTGGTAGACCTCGCATTTTAAAGTTATAATTATCACGATTGCATAAATATCGTAAGCAACAGGATGGCGGGGTATGGTCTATATATATTTTACAGGGTGTTATTTGTCTATTGAGCATCTATACAATATCCTTTTTTCCTTGTTGATGAACATTCTGTCGTTTTATGCAGGGTTTTACCATGAAGTTTACCCTGTAAGATGTTTAGCTAGCTATAAAACCAGGTTTAATCCACCATTTTCTACATAAGGCAATGCCTGTACCAAATCAGAAATATGTCAGTTGTTTTCTATTTATTTGATGTGTTTGAGCTTTTGATTTTGCCATTTGATAAGTGACTTTCGTTTTGAATTTTCCTTGGAGTTCGGTATTTTTGATATTTCCTCTATAATAAGTTTTTATGTAAGTTTAGTCGTTTGGTTCAGGTGAACGTTCGTCTGTTACGCCCACTTATTACGTTTTACTAACAATGGACAATGTAAATCATGGGGTAAATCGAATGCATGATTAACTTTTATCCATGGTGCAATTGGAAATTTGAAAATTACTTCTAATCTGAACAAGAAAAAAAAGAAGACGACACATAAAAGTTACAGCTTTAGGTTAAAGTTTTATCGCTGCTTATAACGGAAATTTGCCAAGGAAACAACAGCTCAATATTAAATCAATTGGAAATAAATATACACAGCTTTGCTATTTTAATTTATACATATGTACGATTCTAAAGTTGAATTAAGGCACTTCTCCGCGAAAATGAAGTATGTATAGCGATTAAAACTGGTAGCAATGATGTGGTCTTCAAAAATGAAAACTTCACATTCTATAAAATACTGATTGAAGCCCATCCATGATTGTCACAACAGAAATTGATCGATTGATAATTGTTAAAATATATATATATTTTTCTTATTCAAAATTATTGACACTGAAGAAGGCTATTTGTACCGCCGAAATATTTCTCAACACGATTTAATAACATCGTCTTCGTATACTACCATCTTATATTAGTACCGTTGCGAAAAGCTTTTTAATGTTTTCTTTATTCTAGACGATCCGGTACATATTAAATTTGCTGGTTGTTCCTTTTTATAGGCTTCTGTATATATATATATATATATATATAATTCGTCTGAATAACAGCCCAGCAATGTTAGATCTGTAAATTTGCGGAAGCAAATTTTTGTTTTTCCCTGGACTGGATTCAAACTCATGCTACTGATATATCGTGGCCAAACCGCCTTGCACTATGCTAGGCGCTAGACCACTCGACCACCTAGGCTCGACAAAAATCAAGCTTTCGGTGGCCGGTGTTACCTTTCCTCGTCAGTTTTTATCTAGCGTCATAACACAGTACATGATATATAAGGCTAAAAACACAATCTGTAGATATAATTCGTCTGCTTCCGCAAATTTACAGATCTAACATTGTTGGGCTGTTATTCAGACGAATTATATATACAGAATGTGTTTTCAGCCTTGTATCATCATCACTGGTGATCCGATGGATGAAATCTGTCGTAGAGTTGTCACTGGTTCAGACGTACTTATATATATATAATCAATTAGACCCCTCTAACAAGAAACTTGTTTTTGCATGCACACGTATAAAAATTGCGGTTTTTATCCAACGCAATCATAAGTTTGAACGTTGTTTTCAATTTAGACTTGTTTACATTTTTTCGTTTGGGTTGTATTATATTTGCCTTCGGGTTTATATATCCGTTCATCCTAATTTGACTCCTCAAAATTCCAAAGTCTATCCTAAATTGAGGTAAATTACATGGCTTTCCAAATACTGTTTCGATTCTTACATCACTGAAGAGACATTAATTGTCGAAATCCGGATATGGTGTACAAAAATCTTTGCACCTTTGTTTGCGGTATACCATCTTTGCCGCAAGTTTATTGTTTTCTGTTTGGTATTAAATTTTTAATTAAGATCCATTTATTACACCTTTTGATCCGTTTATTTGGCAATCGCCAATGGCAGTCAGCAGGGTTTAAGAACATTTGTTGTTAGTCAAATGCGTTTTGTTAAAATATAGACTTTTTCACTTTTTTGGTCTTTTGGAAAATGTTGTTTGTGCTGTATTAAGACCCCTCTAACAAGAAATTTGTTTTTGCATGCACACGTATAAAAATTGCGGTTTTTATCCAACGCAATCATAGGTTTGAACGTTGTTTTCAGTTTAGACTTGTTTATATATATATATATATATATATATATATAAGTGCCTATAAATAGCAGCACATGACATACAAATCTATGGGAGTGTGGATTAATCAGTACAGAGATTAATTCAATTACACAAATAAAATTATAGATTGCCTAACAATGTAATTTTAACACACTATTTAGTATGTAAATATAAGAATGTTTAAAATATTTACAAAATGATGAAAATAAACGCAATATTTCGCTAGACTAACTAGCTTTATCAAGCGTGCATCTATCCAGGTGAAATCGGATGTAGATGATCAATATACATGATATATATATATATATATATATATATATATATATATATATATATATATATATATATATATATTAACGCCTGAAAAGTGTTCAAAACACCACCAATATTAAAAAATAGGAAACATTAAATGTAATTATCTATAAATATTTCGTATAACAGATATCCTTCATCAGTATGATTATAATGTAAAATGAATCATATAAATCTATTCTGATTCAACTTTAACAATCTTGAAATTTATACAATTAACACCGAACACAACAACGTTTGTACAATTCTAAAATTTCAAAAATGAAGTAGATTAGTTATTTACAACAGAGACTGCATAGATATGCAACTAATAAAAAATAGTAATGTGCGATATGAACTGGTACATTTCTAAAATTTCACAGGTGACGAAAGTTAAGATATTAAAACAAAGACTGCGTAGAAATACATTCCCAATGAACAGTACTGACCGATTTGAGGTGGTATAATACTCAAATTTAAAATTTGACGACGGTAAAGTGATAACAACAGAGGCTGCGTATTTACACATCCCAAATAAATAGCAGTTTGATAATGATTAAAAAAAAATAAGTAATTGAACGTGGCTGCGTACTTATACATCTCGAATGAACAGCACCCTGCGATTTAAACTGGTATAATTATAGAATTTTAGAGTTGACAAAGGTAAAAGAATAGCAACAGAGACTGCGTAGTAATATGAAATATAACCCAAATGAAAATAAACTTTTACAATATAAAGACAAAAATGTCAACAAAAGAGTGCCGTTTGTGCTGACTTACCATCCCAAATTTATCACACCTTATCCGCGAAAATTGGAAAGAAATCGAAAAACATCCTAAACTATCCAAGATCTTTCCCGAGCCACCTGTTATAGCTACCGTTGGCCCAAAAGCCTTAAAGACTTGCTGGTGAGAGCTGATTTATCCTCTAAATCAGGCTCTTAGTCTGTTGGCTCTTGAAACAAACGATGTCTGACTTGCAAGCAAATACTGAATACCTAGGATTTTAACAGTCACTCCACTGGTACGGAATACACCATATTTTACAATGTTAATTGAAAGACTACAAATTATCTGTATCTCCTACAGTTTAAATGTAGTAAACAGTATGTTGGCGAGTCAGAACAGCCATTTCACAAACGTATGAACGGCCATCGTAGCGACTATGAATGCAAGCCAGACCTTCTTCTCAGTCGACATTCGAGATCCCCTGGCCACACTACGGCAGATCTAAATCGACTGACCATTACAATCATAGACCACAACACTGCTTGGTCTAGGGAGGATAAACTCGGTCTGGAACGATTTTGGATAAGAGAATTAAACACTTTGGCACTAAATGGGATCAATGAAAAGGTGTAGTTCTAATTCGCGCAGTGCTTTTCATTTGGGTAATATTTCATATTACTACGCAGTCTCTGTTGCTATTATTTTACCTTTGTCAACTCTGAAATTCTAGAATTATACCAGTTTAAATCGCAGGGTGCTGTTCATTCGAGATGTATAAGTACGCAACCACGTTCAATTACTTAACCTTTTTCAAAATAATTTTTTTTTAAATCATTATCAAACTGCTATTTATTTGGGATGTGTAAATACGCAGCCTCTGTTGTTATCACTTTACCGTCGTCAAATTTTAAATTTGAGTATTATACCAGCTCAAATCGGTCAGTGCTGTTTATTGGGAATGTATTTCTACGCAGTCTTTGTTTTAATATCTTAACTTTCGTCACCTGTGATATTTTAGAAATGTACCAGTTCATATCGCACATTACTATTTTTGTTAGTAGCATATCTATGCAGTCTCTGTTGTAAATACCTAATCTACGTCATTTTTGAAATTTTAGATTTGTACTAGCGTTGTTGTGTTCGGTGTTAATTGTATAAATTTCAAGATTGTTATAGTTAAATCAGAATAGATTTATATGATTCATTTTACATTATAATCATACTGATGAAGGATATCTGTTATCCGAAATATTTATAGATAATTACATTAAATATTTCCTATTTTTAATATTGATGTTGTTTTGTACACTTTTTAGGCTTTTACATAATTTATTTATTGCGTATATGTATCGTTACTCGTAAGATCCTGCGCCCTCGTAAGAAAGTTCGTTGACTAACTATATATATATATATATAAACAAGTCTAAATTGAAAACAACGTTCAAACCTATAATTGCGTTGAATAAAAACCGCAATTTTTATACGTGTGCATGCAAAACAAATTGCTTGTAGAGGGGTCTAAATACAGCACAAACAACATTTTCCAAAAGACCAAAAAAGTGAAAAAGTATATTTTAACAAAACGCATTTGACTACGGGTCGAACAACGGATGTTCTCAAACCCTGCTGACTGCCATTGGCGATTGCCAAATAAACGGATCACTAGATGTAACAAAATGGATCTGAACTATTAATTTCATACCAAACAAATAACAATAAACTTGCGGAAAATATGGTATACCGCAAACAAAAGGTGCAAAAATTAGTACACCATATCCGGATTTCGACAATTAATGTCTCTTCAGTGATGTTAGGAATCGAAACGGTATTTGGAAGGCCATATAATTTACCTCAATTTATGATAGACTCTTGAATATGAGGAATCGAAACAGGATGAACGGATCATATAAACCTGAAGGCAGATATGATACAAGCCCAAACGAAAATTAATAAACAAGTCTTAATTGAAAACAACGTTTAAACCTATGATTGCGTTGATAGAAAACCGCAATTTTATATATGTGCATGCAAAACAAATTTCTTGGAAGAGGGGTCTAAATACAGCACAAACAACATTTTCCAAAAGACCAAAAGAGTGAAAAAGTATATTTTAACAAAACGCATTTGACTAGCAGGTCGAACAACGGATGTTCTTAAAGCCTGCTGACTGCCATTGGCGATTGCCAAATAAACGGATCACTAGATGTAACAAAATGGATCTTAACTATTAATTTCATACCAAACAAATAACAATAAACTTGCGGAAAATATGGTATACCGCAAACAAAAGGTGCAAAAATTAGTACACCATATCCGGATTTCGACAATTAATGTCTCTTCAGCGATGTTAGGAATCGAAACGGTATTTGGAAGGCCATATAGTTTACCTCAATTTAGGATAGACTCTTGAATTTTGAAGAGTCGAAATAGGATGAACGGATCATATAAACCCGAAGGCAAATATAATACAAGCCCAAACGAAAAAATATAAACAAGTCTAAATTGAAAACAGCGTTCAAACCTATATACTTTTTCTATTTTTTGGTCTTTTGGAAAATGTTGTTTGTGCTGTTTTTAGACCCCTCTACCAAGAAATTTGTTTAGCATGCACACGTATAAAAATTGCGGTTTTTATCCAACGCAATAATAGGTTTGAACGTTGTTTTCAATTTAGACTTGTTTATATATTTATATGTGTGTGTGTAATTACTCTAAATATCAGCACAACGATGTTAAATCTACAAAATTTGCGGAAGCAAATTTTTGTTCTTTCCTCGCTGGGAAGATATGTATATATATATATATATATATATATATATATATATATATATTTCGACAAAACAAAAACCCATTTAACCAGGTCGAGCACACTAGCTTTTATGAAAACTCGGACATTAGCAATCAGATCATTAACATCGTTTACCAGTTGCCACTTCAATCAAGATTTAAGATTGTTTATGTGTTTTATAAAAACTAATTAAATTTCAAAAAATGATATACCTTACGTATATTCTGTTTTTCTTCATTTTTATTGTCATTCTTTTAATTGAGAAAGAATTTATGTTAACTAGTCTATAATAAAACTATGATGTCGATCGAAAATTACAAGTGATCAATAAAAAAGACTAATACTGACCTTTGAGTCCCTTTTCCAAGTCACCGATTGTCTTTTCGAAAACTTTCAACTGGTTTCTTAAGTTACTTAAATGACTTTTTTCTGTTTTAGCCAGACATACATCTTGTACACCAGCCTCAACATACATAGCCCACAAAACAAGTACCACAGCAATCATTCTTAAACGTATTCATTGAATAAAAAGTAAATACAAATGCAGTGAAAAAAACTCAATTTTTTAACAACTAATATATGCAAAGACATGTCAAATGAAAATGAAAAGTTAACAGTTGATACGAATGTGTAATATTTCTGTTTTTGTATTTGCTTTTTATTTAATTTGTTGTTGTTTTCGCTAAAAAATATCTCATCATATATACTAGGATTAAATTTGTGCACATAAGACGCACTTTCCGTCTACAAAAGACTCATCAGTGACTTTCGAATTGAATAAGTTAAAATAATGATAAAGTACGAAGTTGAAGAGCAACGAGTACCCAAAATTCCGAAAGTGTTTGACAAATATAGCTGAGGTAATCTTTTCCTAGGGTTTTGATATACTGAGAAAATATAATTTAAATTCACATTCACATTCACATCTTGTACTTGAAAAATATAACGTTCAAGTTTGATTATATTAGGTATGTACGTACTGATTCAATAGAATACAAATAGCATGAATTTCATGCGTGTAAAGTGGACATTTTTCGGAATACACAGTAGTTAGATTGGGACAAAAGAGTAGGATGTAATTAAACAACTATACTTGTTATCTCTTATATTGGTGACTGTACACGATTGTAAAATTAAAATGGTGGTTGATATTAAGCAATGCATAAACGAAATATTAATGAAATTATTATTAACTGATTAAGTGATAGCTTATCCTTCAATTATCGGCTAAACCACATGTCTTCGACTGATTTTTTTTTTTTAATTAATTGTTCATAGGTACCTTATACTTTAGGATAATCTATGATGTTTTCTACGTTATTAAAGGGTTTTTATGTATACGACTTATATTTTGTAGGCGTGAATTAAACCAACTAGAATTTTACAAAGGAAATACTCAGTTTAAGATATTTTATGCATATCACTTAGGTAAAAATGCGGAGTTTCCCTAATTGAAGGTTTTACTACGGACAATCTTAACTTACGTAGCTTTATGCATACGGGCTGTGATTCTCAGGCCGTGTAATACATAGTTTCAAGTACAGATAAAAATTAAAGGGATCAAATAACGTAACAAGAAAAAAATGTTTATTTATTATGAAATGACTGAAAATCAGTATCTTGTATTTGTAGTGCCTTGGATTCAAGTGTTGCCTTTCAATTTGACCTAAATATATTTAACCTTCTAGTTTTAATGATTTTTTTAATTTTCAGAATCCGGTTGTCATTTCAGTTATTTGTGAAATAAGGTAAATATATTGAAAATAAATACTGTTTGAAAGGTAGGCTGTCTCAAAGAAATTCTTTTTTCGGTGTTCATAACCGAAAGATAGTTGATAAAATTCGCTGCCTTATAAAAGAGTCTATATCACAGTGTCAGGTGTTAACTTAATTTAATTGCATTTCTATTTTATATTCAAATGGACTTTTTTTATCAAAATTAAGACGACATAAGAATACCGATGTTTAGGATTGCAGGTTGTAACAATGAAATGAAAAGTAAACATATACTATTGATTATTTCTTACCTTTCTACGTGTTCTATGTAATTAGTCAGAACTTATGATATATTGAGTTTAGCGAATACAAAGTATTTGTAGAGATAAATATTGTACCATCTGATACATCTCATTTTACTGAAATATGATAATCCTACTTTTGCAGTCCGTATAGCATAGCAGGAAGTAGTATATCCTTGAAAACAAATCATAACTTTTCTGATAATTATTGTTATAATTGTTATATCCTTTTTCTGAAACCAAAAACATTTTACCCACAAGCAATGAAAAACCATGCATAAAAAATAAGTGGAATTTGAGATTCAAAACTGCATTTGTAGAATAAAAGAAAATATCACTTAATACTTTTTTTTTTTTTTTTATCTTTAAAAAATATCAATTTAGAATTGAGAATGGAAATGGGGAAACAACAACCCGACCAAACAACAGAAAACAGCCCAAGGCCACCAATTGGTCTATAACGCAGCGTGAAAATACCGCACCCGGAGGCGTGCTTCAGCTGGCCCCTTAACAATAATTATTTATCTTTATTTCTTTTGTTTAATTTCATTACTTTTGGAATCACACTTCTGTTGAAATTATAGCCAACAAAATTAGAACAGATATAACATGGATCATTGAGAAATGTAACAGGGATCCAAATGTATTCTAGATGCAAAGATATTATTTCAAAACATGATACCAATTGCTAGAAGGCAGAGGAAGATTATGGAATTAAACGTAATGTGTTCTTTTCGAAACACGTTTGGACTGTTTCTTTGTTATTTGATAATCCCATTCGTTAGTCGTGTAACTGATTATGATTTGCGAAACAGTAATTATAATTATGAGGTACTAGTACTCGTTATAGATTACACATTAATTTACCGAGAAATATGTGTTCTTCTTTATTCAAAGATTTGCGTTTGAGTTAATATCAAACATAATTGCGTCAGCAGCTGTTGCCATCCCGTTTAAGATTGTATTGGCTAAGTTTCGAGAGCCTGCAATGAAACGATATGTATATTGCTCTTTTAAGAATTAGAAAGATATTTTATATCAGTTGCGTTTCTATTGGCTGTTGACGGAGACATACATTTGAGAAACATTTAACAATTTTCTATAAAATGGATATGTATTTATCAGGCGACCACACATATCAAGAAAAGAGGGACGAAAGATACCAGATGGACAGTCAAACTCATAGATCGAAAACAAACTGACAACGCTATGGCCAAAAATAAAAAGACAAATAGACAAATAATAGTACAGATGACACAACATAGAAAACAAAAGACTAAGCAACACGAACCCCACCAAAAACTGGGGGTGATCTCAGGTGTTACGGAAGGGTAAGCAGATCCTGCTCCACATGTGGCACCCGTCGTGTTGCTTAAGAAGTTATGACTGACAGTTGGAAAAAATAAAGTTCTACGACACTGACATCGGCAATATTAAATTTTAAATGTGCTGAACTTTTTACTATGTATATTTAAATTTTGTATAATGTCTCAACAATTTAAATCATAACTAAAGTAAAATTTGTACACCTGTCATATTCATATGTTGGTATTTAAAAAGTCACGTTTTTCCTAGACTACTAATGACGTCAATGCATAAACTTCGTTAGATATGTTTTGATTGGCATTTTTTAAATATATATATTTCCAAGGTAGGCAGAAGGGCCGAGTGCTCACAAACATTCCAATCTTTATGTTGAACTGTCTCTAGTGCGTGTAAAACGATACATGTAATTTTTAGTTAATACATTTTGTTAGAGATAAAATTATCCCACTATTAAAGGATTACTCTTTAGTTGACTTTGAAATTATTTCATTAAGCTTATGTTAGGCTTATATTTTGCTTAAATATGTAACAATTGCATTTAAAAAGTTTTCTCGTCAAATATTTAATTTTAATTCGAAACGCGTTTAGAAAAGTGGACAGACATTTTGTGTGAGGTACAGATGGGTGAAATCCTAACCTGTACAAAAGTAAATTTGGAGCAGACTTGTTGACCGATTTCGAAGTTAAGAAAATTTAAGCAGACAAACAAGTTAACGTCGGTGGTACAGACCTAGGTCTGCTTTTAATCACGGCTGCAGACCTATTGACAAGTCTGCTCCAGACCAGACCAGACATGTGCACCGGTCTGTATTTGACCAGCCTTGAGTACAGTATGCTCCAGATATTGAATGACGAGGTCAAATAATTTTGTCATACAAACCCTCCTGAAATATGAAAACTACTGATTTTAGTGACGGCTCAGTATTTTGAATAAAAAGAGGAAATGCTGGCATTCTCAATTGATGCGGACAAAATTTTACTGTAACAACATTTATGAAATTATTTGAAATCAAGGAATATATCTCCCTCGTGTAAAGCTCTTGATTCCTTGCACGGTTTTGGCTATACTTTTTTCTCCTGTTTTGTTAATAAGCTCTTTGTTTTTTTTAATAAATTTTGGATATTCAAACAATTTGGGCTCTAGCATCAATTCAGAGACATTTATTGTCATAATACGCATCCGGTGCAGACAGATTGGTACCGTTAATGTTTTACTAATTACATATGTGCAAAATAAAACATTTTTTCGATTAAGAACAACCATTTATCAGGGAAACAAAAACACCCAGAACATATGATTACCGTCAACTACCAAAAGGTCGATACCTCTGCTAGTGGACTGTTAGCCCCCAGAGGGTAACACCAGCCCAGTAGCCAGTACTTCGGTACTGGCATGAAAATACGGATAATGTGTTATTAAAGTTTGCTGTTACAAAATTTTTGAAATTATTTGAAATTAAGAAATATTTCCCACATACAAAGCTCTGATTCCTTGCCCGACTTTGGCTATACTTTTTTGTCAATTTTGGTTTATAAGCTCTTCAGCTTTTTAAATAAGTATTGCATTTAAAATATCTAAGTCTCCAGCATCACTAAAGAGATGTTTAATGTCGAAATACGCATGTGGTGCAGAAAAATTGGTACCGTTAATATTAATGTTATTAAATATGTGCAAAATAAATCATTTTTTTATTAAGTACACCCATTTATCAGGCAAACAAAAACACCAAGAACATAATGATTGACATATCTTTTCTAACACAATCCCGTTTTTACTTATTTCATATAAGGATATAGTTTTGTCTTTGGACATTCCTATCATGTTTCGACATTATAAAATATTATGAGTTAAAATTTGTAACTTTCGTCAAATCTAATTTGCTATTGTTGCAAATAAGATGTATTTGAAATTATTTAGATTGGGTGTACTGCATATGTTATGGAAATCAGGAATGGAGAGTTATTTGGGATTTCACTAACTCATAATACACATTAAATATTGAAAACGAACTTTCAGAGTAAAAAATATCACTGTGCCTTAACTACCCCGGCAAAAAATGTTTGGACTCAATAGTATCTAATATCCGGTACGGTGACGGACCATCAACAGACAGACAAAATGTAGGATTTTTGTTTATTTATTTGTTATTTTTATGATATTGAAGAATACACATAGATTGATTGATTGTTGGTTGCTTAACGTCCAGTGTAATACACATGTATAGAACTATTTTCGATTGTGAGATGTAATATTTTCTACAACCGTTCTAGATTAATGGAGAAATGAGTAAAAAGGCATATCAAAACGGTGAATTGAGTAATCCTTGCCTCGAATTTGTTTAATTTCTCTTTAAATTGAGCACATTGTACGGAAAGAAAGGTACGGAAAGAACGATATTAACACGGAGATTGCAAGACTAGTCAATTTGAGCACCTCAATATTTGTATTTCTATGCATGGAATGAAAGAAATTGGTCATGTCAAAATGGAAGGACCCTTTTGTCAATGTGTACGACCCGGTTTCGTCCTAAAATTTCACAAAATAGGACCCGGTTTCGTAATAAAATTTCGCAAAGTAGGACCCGGTTTTGTCATAGAAAATTCTGCATAATCGCAAGACGTAAATTAAAATCCGGCGTTCAACAAGAGTTTAATGGCTCTTTGGAAAAACGATTTCTTCCAGAGGATAACTTAGATATAGGAAGATGTGGTATTATTTGAATCCGTAAACACTTGAACTCCTGCTTTAATGGAACAAATTAATTTTAATTTTGCTTTGAATAAAAACGATTACTTAAACGGCGAAATACACAGAAATGAAGGTTTTATAACACAATTTAAGTTTTTTTTTTTTATATAAATGATGTAAATTTAAGTGTTCAAACTTGGATAGAGTTCGGCCTTGAAAATTGTCGGACGCATATTTGATATGTGATTTTCTTGGACAACAGGATGGTTATCGTAATAAATTTTCCACTCTACCTGGATTTTTTTTTTTGGGGGGGGGGCAGTATGATAGTTTGAAAATAAATATTCTGAACACTAAATGTTCATTATAAAGCAATTGAATGTAACAAATGTATATGTATGCAGAATCGCCCTAGAAAATGAACTTCCATGCTGCGCAATGGATCACAATAATAATGCGTTAAAAATCTTTTTACCCTTCCTTGTATTCATTATACTAAATATGAATTAGTTTAATAGTCTCAGGCCATCCAGAAAATGCAATAGTAATTATTGAATTAATAATTTTATAACTAAACGGTTCTTTTATCTCTCCGTTTTGTAATGACTATCGTACATTGACGTTGGTCAAGTTTATAATTTTCAATTGCAAAAAGGGGCGTAATTCCATAAAACAGATTATATACCGCTGAGCATAGCGAGGGGAAATATTTTTTTGACGATTTTATGCTAACAAAAATCATAGATAAATCGTGAAAAAAAACATGATATAATAATTATTTGTTGCTATCAAAGGGGAGGGGGCGTACTCCCTCTACACCCCTGGATCCGCCTCTGATATAATATAATTATATCGTATAAATCATAAAATTTAATAATAAAAAAAAGAAAAAAACAACTTTGAGTGCCAATCGTGCATTTACTATACAGACCGTGCCTATGTAATCGAATGTGTTAATCCTATTGCATTTTTTCATTTCATTTCGGGTCCTTTTTCATTGTTACTCATTGTTGGATGCTATACTGTGACCTATATTTGCTAACTTTA